ACAGTGAGAGACCGTCCCTGCCCCAGCTGAGATCAGGGCCCTGTTGGGCCGGGCACTGCACAGACACACAGTGAGAGACCGTCCCTGCCCCAGCTGAGATCAGGGCCCTGTTGGGCCGGGCACTGCACAGACACACAAGGAGAGACAATCCCTTAAGGTGCTGTCCCTTTAGCTCAAGTGGTAATGGCTTTTGGCTTTTAATCCAGAAATCAGGCATTCAATTTCTCCTGCTGATGAGGATCCCCCCAATTAACCCCAGTAACTCTGGGCAACCGTGAAAATGTCTCTCCCAATCACCCAGTGGCCACTATCAGAGCTTCGGGGGAGGGGACAGGGGAATGACTGAGCGATGCACCCCTGCCTTGCCCTCCTGGCTTCTGGCAGTCAGAGGAGCATGGGGTTGTGTCCCTGACCATCTTGGCTAATGGCCATTGATGGACCTGTCCTCCAGGAACTTAGCTCATTCTATTTTGGAACCTAGTTATTTTTGGCCATCACCACATCCAATGGCAGGTGGACTATGCGCTGTATGAAAAAGTATCTTCTCTTGTTTGTATTAAACCTGCTTCCTGTTAATTTCATCAGGTGACACCTGGTGTTTGTGTTGTGGGAAGGGTAAATAACACTTCTCTGTTCACTTGTTCCAAACCGTTCATGGTTTTATAGACCTCCAGCCTATCCCCCCTTAGTCGTCTCTTTTCTAACAGAACGGCACTGATCTTTGTAATCTCTCCTCGTATGGAAGCTGTTCCATGTCCTTGATCATCATCAACTAGATTTATTCACTCATGGAAGCACCTAGCAAAACACGACCATTTTCATGCTCCGGCAGCATTTGCTATTGAAACGCCTTCGTCTCCTTTCATCTATTTTTTTTATTTTTTTATTTTGCAGATTTCAGCCTAAAATGCGTTAAAGATAAATGGATCCCAGTTACCGTTACTGTCGTCATCACAGCGTTGATCATCACCATAATTGCATTGGCAGGTGAGTGAAGGGTCATTACTAACCCAGCTGATTCTCATTCCTTGTCACTGGTTCTTCATTGACTGCTTGTCCTAGCCCCAAGGTCACGGTGCCCACTTGCGTTTCCCACGGCCTCTTCTCACCCCGTCTGTGCCCTGGTCTGACTCCTCCGTTGAAGCACATTCCCCTTTTCAGAGGGGAAATCTCTCTCCAGACCCTTTCCCCCAAAGAGGAAGGGCCTAACCCCATTCCCTGCCCCCTGGGAAGCAGCCCCACTAGAGCCCAGGTCTGGGTAGCGGTGTAGGGATGCAGTGGGTGGGTCTCCCTGCATCCCCCTCCCTGTGTCATCCAACGCCCAGTCTCACCTTAAACTGTCATAGGTTTGGGTGCCACCATGTGGCCATGGCTCACAATGCGTCTCGAAAATTGTTTCCAATCCATTTATCATTGTTCTTCCTCCCTCATCCGCAGTACTGTGTGTAAATGCAACTGGGAGTCAGACAGAGGATTCCGTTCCCTGATCCCGGCCAGTCTCTCGTGGCTTTGGGAGCATTTCTGAATTTCTTTTCTGTGCCAAAGCTCCTCTGTAAAACTCACGTGACGCAGAGAATCTGTCACACTGAACAGATTCTTCCCATTCCTGGCTGGGCGTCGCTGGCGCAGCAGAAAGGGGTGTGTTGGAGTGTGTGCGCCCTGCCCCCAGGAACTGAAGAGTTCCCGGAATTCCTTAGAGAAGACACATGCTGTAGGGAGTGTGCGGTGACAGCTGGCAGTGCTGGAGTGAGGGGCTGGCTGCTTGGCCTCACTGGGCAGACAGACGTTCACAAGGGATGTGAATGGCTACGGGGAGCAACGCGCTGTAGGGGTCGGGTT